GCTGGGGATTTAGCTCAGCGGCAAAAAGCGCCTGCCTGGCAAGCGCAAGGTCGTGAGTTCGGTTCCCGGTACCGGAGAAAAACCAAAAAAAATAAAAAAATAAAAAATAAAATTAAATTAAAGGTCAAGGCACAAGTGACACGAGAATGCAGAAGTTTTGTTCTTACTGTATCATTCTGCCTCTTTACTGGTAAGATTGAATTCTAAATTTCTAGTTGCAAGTTAGAGATAACAACAGCACTTGTATCACAGAGATGCCACAGGGATTAAATAAGGTATTGCTTACACAGCACTTGACACATATTGGTTCTGTGTGTCCCATAAACAGCATCAGTTTCACTGCAGATAATACACTGAATTATTAACCTCTGGGATTTTCCTGATGTGAGTTTCCTTTTATGTGAGCGATATCACATGGCGGTGTGCATGGTAGCCATGATGAACATTAGAGGACTACAGGGAAAGGTAAATTTATGTTTTTGATGTTCACATAATAAACTTGAAAGCTAAAACCTTTTGACTTGCAAGAACCTCATTCTGAAAGCCTTTAGCAATAAAAACAGGCAGGAACACAGCAAATCACAGAATTTCTGCTGCAATACTGGAGTGGAAAGAGAATAGAGAGACATCCGGACTGCTGAGTCTTGAGGGAAAGACTTCCCTGAGTCAGAGGAGGGGAAGGAGGAAGTGAGGGGGGCAGGGCCCAAAAGGTGTTGGGTCTGAAATGAGGGCACTGCATGGAAAGGCCACACGGATGGGAAGGACCTAGCTTGAACAGACTGCCAGCACCACCCAGGCCGGACCCTGGCCAGGCCTATGGGCCTCCCCAGGAGTGCTGCAGCTCAGCTGTGCCCTGGCTCCCCATCTTCATAGTTCTTGTCTGTTGAACAACTTCTACCACATGAGTGACCAAACATCCAGGTTTTCCTAGCACCATCCCAGGAATGCATGTCTGTTACTTATCTATTTACACCTCTTGTCCAACATAATTTACAACCCCTCTGTTATTTGTATTTTCTAGATGATAAAGTGTATGGTCATTCTCCCCTTTGACAGCAGCCTGACTTCCCACTGCTGCTCCAGCAGGAATCTCACCTGACCGACTCCAAAGAGACACACCCCATTAAATGAGCCATGATGTGTGTGGGGCCCCTAAAACACAAGGTGAGGTCCCTGGCACTTTGAAGGCTTGCACCAGGGAAAAGCTGAGGGCACATTCAGTGGCACTGGGGAGCAGTGATGCCTCTATTTCACACCTGGGTGGCAGACAGTTGCCTCAGCATCTCACTTTTTGCAGGACTTGGCATCCTCTCATGCACAGTAGGTCCTCTAGGAACACTTAGAAAGTAATACGATTGAAGGAACCTCTGTTTTGCTTTGATTCTTAATCAGAACTGGAGAGGAAACAGAGAAATCTGTACTATTTAAAATTCTATAAATCCATACTGAATGTACATAATTGCTATTGCTAAACAAGACAGCCTCTGCTAAATTTTAGAAGTTTATGTTCTCCTAGCAGTAGGGAGAAAGTTAGGGGAGGGGATACTTGGTAGAAAACAACAGTGACACATCAGGGTTTTTTGTTTTGTTTTTGATTTTTCAAATTTTGCCTTTTCAATGTGATGTACCCTTCACCCAAAACCTTTCTCAAAGTTTGGGGAAATTCTCTCTCTCTCTCTCTCCCTCACCTCTCTCTGTCTCTGTCTCTCTCTCTCTGTGTGTGTCTGTCTCTCTGTCTCTCTGTCTCTGTCTCTCCCTCTCCCTCTCCACCTCTCTCTCTCTCCTTCACCTCTCTCTCTCCCTCTCTCTCTCCTTCACCTCTCTCTGTCTCTCTCTGTCTCTCTGTCTCTCTGTCTCTCTCTCTCTCTCTCTCTCTCTCTCTCTCTCTCAATGCCATGGCTGTGCAAATTCAAAACATCTTCAAACTTTTGAGTTCAAAATTTAACTGCTAGGATGTGCTGTTTGAGGAAAAACAATATGGTCACTCAGGTAACACAAAACACTCATTGACAGTTTAACTTGCTTAGCCTTCAACACATACACACTCAGAGATTTAAAAAGATGTGGTCATCACAAAATAAAAACAAAAAGTGCTGAGAAAACAATCAGAAATAGGAGTTGGAGATCAAAACATGATTTCTAAAGCAAAACTTAGTGCTTTTCCTTAGGAAGGCTAGTTTCCCACAGGTGTTAAAAATTTTTTTGTTTCTCCGGTTATTACCATTTACTCCAACTGTGCTATTATTTTTCTTGCATTTTCTGTTTTATGTTTCTTCTTCTCTTCCTATACCTTGTCTTAAGATTCGAAGACTGTAGGACTCTGAGCCTGGTGTGGGTTTCCTGGATGCTACACTTTGGTTGACTTAGTAGGTTGATTTTCCTGAGAATTTTCTTTGGAATGAGAAATCATAGCAGGAGCTTTTTGCAGTAGAGTATCAGTTTAGATTTCAATATAGAGTGAGTGAGACCAGAACAGGGTAACCTTTCAAATGCCAAAGAAGATGAATGTATTGAGGAACATGAACATTCACACCCTATGCTTTAATTTCTCCCATAAGATTCTGTTTGCCTTGGAAAGGAAACAGCTCCAGCTTCTTGCAAGAGGAAAAGCTCTGGTTGCCTGTGTTGGGTAGAAGCAATGGACAGGAAGGGAAGAGCCACGTATTGGCTTCAGTGCCACCTCTTGTTTCCTTGGAAATCTCCTGACTAAGAGCATCCAGGAAGTTGCCCTCTTATTAAAAGATAACCAGAAGGTGATATATGAGGACAGTATTATCTCCAATCTCCCTCCCAATGATGAAACGCTCCACTGACATAAGATAGAATGCTGGGCTCTGAGCTTTCATGCAAGAATCATTTAAGAATATTTACCACTTACAGAACATTTGGTGGTCCTTTTCCAAACTGTATTTTCCATTATGTCACTCCAAATTCTTTATGTAAAATCTACCTTAAATCCTGCTGATGAAATGATGGTTCACCCAGCAAGTAGAGCCACCTATAGTCCCTCAGCCCTCATCAGAGGGCCAAAGGGCAGAGTCACACTGGAAATCCAAGCCTGCTGTCACTAATGGAAAGTAACTCCATGTATAATGTCTTCTGTTGACTGAATGGTTGGATTATGCTTAATTTGAAACTATGTAATCATTAATAGAATTGATCAGCTTTTCTGCTTTGTCTTGATAGTTCTATTCAAAATAGAAAAACTTGCCCAGAATGTAGTTATAATTTTAAAAAATGGATGTGGAAAAAATGTGCATGATCAAAGACAGGCATGCAATTGAACTCTTATGAAGAAAAAGTACCATCAGACAAAAATTCCATATTTGCTATAAGGTTGAAAGAAAAAGGCAAGCTTGACTAATGTGCTCATCTGTATGAGGAGCAAGAGGAGTGGTATCAACTGCACCTAGTGCTATCTGGAAATGCAGCTTCCTCTTCCTAGTGCCATCTGTTTTCATGCCTAATATTATCTGTCAGCCGCAGTAGTAAGTACTCTTGACCCCTGAAAGTGATGTCAAAGCAAGGTATGCGGCAAGGGAAGGAAGAAAACCTGATGAGTCATCCTGATATTCACACAGCCCCTTTGAGAAGGTTGTTGGTCATTCCTCACCTTGCTAGAATTTGGACACAGGTTAGGCACATGCTAGAAACCCAGCTTCAGCATATCTCAGTATCGTCCCCTACCACACCAAAATGAAGAGGAACCTTCCCGAGAGTTAGTTTCACAGGAAAGAGGGAAACCATCCCTTCTGCCCCAACAGCTAGCAAAGAGGGAAAGGTATTTCCACAATATCACATTTTATAATGCTTAGCAGGGCACACTCTATGGAAAGATGTTGGAATCTGTCTTCATGACCTGTTAGTTGGATCTTGAGCAAAAGAGTTGAACTCATTAAGCTTCTATTTTCCCGTCTGTAAAATAGGGTGGTAATTTCTTCCTTATAAAATAATAATTGCAAATACTGCCCTAGTTATATTAACAGATGTATATGCACACACAGTAGTATATAAGGCACAGAGGTGAATCAACTCACATTATAGACAATACAAATGTTTGAAGGATACATGTGTATAAAGCAGAACATCTAAAGGGGAGAAATGATTGCTGTACACAGTTGCTTTGCATGATCCCATTTCACATTGTTGGTGTAGGAATCTTGACTTTTGTATGTACTTGGAAACAAATAAAATGGAAACATGAAGAAAAAAGATAAGCAAAATGGGGGCTTCCAAAATTAAAAAATAATAAGTGAAAGTATTGTTTTTTCAAAAGGGAACTATAGAACTTTCATCCTGATTTTAAAAAAGATTTATATTTTCTCATACTTTAAAAAATGCTTTGGCTCCTCCACTGCTAACTGTTATGAATATCCTGTGAACTAGGGCCCAGTGTTGCTCACTGCTCGGCTACTGTCTCTGGTCTTCCCCTGCCTCTTTATCTGCACTAGGACCTCACCCGGCCCTCCGTCGTTTCTCCAGTCAGCTTACTCCAGCTATTTTCATATATTTATGCTGATGTACCTAGGATATAACTTTTGATGTATTGAGCAGTTTTCCCGTAGAAAAATTCAAAACCGTGCATATTTACTCCGGCCATGTTTGTTTATTTCTCCTGTGTATTTTCAGCCTACATTTTTCTCTTTTTTTTTTTTTTTATGAGCCTACATTTTTCTATATTGCTTAATGTATCATCACGCTCACAGGCCCTGATGACTAAGAGCTTTTCCTGGCCTGTTATGTGAAGAATAGACACACAAAAAACTATATTAAAAAGCAGAAAATTAATCATAAGTGCATAGACAGTAAATTTTGCCGCGTTAGTGGGACTCACGGATTTTCCACTGTTGGAGGTTCTCTGTACGAAGGTGAACTGGTGCACAGCGAAGCACACTAGGTAAGTGCTCATGGGAACAGACTTCTGAAAAGTCGTTCGAATCCAACTGTCATCCAGTGTCTCTGTTTTCTATGGAAAACAAAAGGTAATCTTTTATTTGGCAAAAGATTAATCCCATACAAGATAAGTTCAGACCGAATTCTTCAGTCATACCTCTTTTGTCAAATCCTTGAAGTAAAATTATGGTAATGTTCACAAGAATAAGGGAAAATTTACTTAATCTTCAGTTCTGTGGGTGATTGAGCCATACACTACCAGATTTTCAGGGAGAAATAAAATTTTGAATGTCATATCAACTGGACAAGAGTTTGTCTCTCTTCAATAAATACACCATCCTGACTGTAAAGTTCTAGGGGGTATGATGATCCCTTAATGAAGAATAAGCTACTGCTCAGTAGGTATTTGCTAACTTGACTGTGCGCTGTATGTTCCATCATTGTATCTGAAATAACTGAATGTTGCTTTTTCTTTTCCACCTCTAGTTTTATACATCGAGGACCGAAAGTATGGCTGCTGTGGTCATTACCTTGGTGACCATGGACAGAGACAAGGTTCCACGCCTTACCTGACTACTCATCCTTCTGGTTTGGGGTCCTTACCAGTACTACTGTCCTCCCTGCCAATCACGTCCTAACACTTGAACCATGGACACTTGCCCAGTTCCTGTAGCCATCCCCATGGACCCTATCCCAATTCCTGGGATAAGTGTGTTTAAAATCTCCACATCCTTTTGTAGTCACTAAATGAGAAGCCTTAAAAAGACACTTAGCAGGGCAGGCTGCACTAAAATCTGTACATAGCTAACACTGTGTGTGTGTGTGCATGTGCACATGAATAAAAGAGTTGGGGTTCCAGCAAGGTTAAATTATTCCACAGTGAAAATCTAGCAGTATCAGTCTGGATCTCTCAATAACCCTGAATATTCTCCTTTTTCTCACATATTATCTGGATTTAGGAGAAGGCAAAGGAGTAAATCTGTGAAACAGGAGATCATTTTAAGTAGAGGTAAGTTTGTTTTCTTTCTCCTCCTATTTTGCCCTTTGTCCTCCTATTCCTGTCAAAACTTTCTGACAGCACCATGACTTAATCCCATCTCCTGAGTCAATGTGTCACACTTTGATTGCATCCTTTCCTCTTTCCTCACCAAGCCAAATTTAACGTCTCAGGTGCCTGACACTAGAAGAAAACAATTTTATAAAGGCACACATAGGCACAGATGGCTGATAAGAGCTTAGATTTTAATCCTCTTACATTCTTCTTTTTTATTTTTTCAAGGAATCTGTTATTATTAAGAGGGATGAATTACAGTGATGATATTTGGAGAGTGAATCAGAAAGTTAGGAGGGATAATTTCAGTCTTTCCTAAGGATGAGCTTGACCTTTCTACATGTCAAATGCATAAACTATGGTAAACCTCTCCTTTGAAGTAATAACATTCTAGTTAATTACATTACCCATTATGAACATGAGGAGCAGTAACACAGGAAAGAGTCTAATGTTAACTAATAGTTACACAGACAGAAATTAGTACAGCCTGTTATTTATTTAACATTGGCAAACATTCCCTTTTACCAGAAAGTCTATAAGCATGGTTTTCTCTGGAGTTGGCTTCTACAGCCCAGTATTTAAGTAATAATGTTTTAAGTAGAACTTTATCTATTTAAAAACCTGGGCTTATATTTTGCTGGAAAGTAAAAACAGTGAGTAGGCACTGGAACATGTTGAGTCTACGCTTCCATTGTTTCGCATTAATTTATCATGACAAGCAAAAGCCCTAGCCCGTGTAGGAGGTGTGACCTAAAAGTATGGTGAAAGCTTATATTCTAAAAATGTACTATAATGTGACACACATTGCCATGAATTCCCCTCAAAATCTTCTCCATAACTTTGAATGCACTTGACCCATAGTTCCTGCCACTTTCTTGTTTTTTTTTTTTTTTTTTTGGTTTTTCTCTGGTACCGGGAACCGAACTCATGACCTTGTGCTTGCCAGGCAGGCGCTTTGCTACTGAGCTAAATCCCCAGCCCCGTTCCTGCCACTTTCTGAAGCAGTTCTGGAAGTCCTTTTTCATTAGTGTCTTTAGTTGCTCTGTCATGGCTGCCTCCATTTCCTGGGCTCATTCAAAATCTTACCTTTCATGGTTATTTTGACTTTCAGGAAGAATCAGAAGCCATATGGTGCCAGATCCATTGAACAGGTAGATAAGGACACACTGCAATGCTTTTATGAGACTGCCTTTCCCTTGGATGGTACTCAGCAGCAGCATTCAGCGCTCACAAAAGAAGACTTTCAGAACTGTTTTTGAAAGTGTCAAGAACAATGGGGAAAGTGTGTTGGAAGCAAAGGGAGTCTTCTGAAGGGGACTGATGGCAATGTCTTTTACTGTAGTAATTTTTTCAAAAAAAATTTAACATTCACTATGTGTTTTGATCACCCATTGTATGTCTATTGAATTCTCTCTTGCTTATATCTCCAAAGTGATTTTATTGCTGGACTGAGATATCTGCTAAAAGCCAAAGAAAAAAGTTGCCAGACTATACTCTTAATCCTGTAAATCAATAATTAGTGCACATTTAGTTTTAGAGTTCAGTGGGACTTCTCCATCAGAAATCAGGTAATTTAGCTGATACTGTGACCAGACCTTCCCAGAAATGAAACATTCAAAAACACTCACCTCCACTGGCATGTTTGAAAGTGCATTGTATTCCTGGGGGTGGATGATAGATATTGTGAAAGTTGCCTTTTTGTTGGGTTCATCAAAGCATGGGAAGGATTTCCTGGCATCTGTTGGTTCATGATCAGTGGCCGCGATGCTCCTGAGGAACAAACACAAACTCATGCACGCTGCCTCCACCCACAGCCCCTTGGTTCCTCTTCCTACGGCAAACAATGAACTAACTATGGAACCATAACTACTGCATTGCTTAGCTTGAGCTTCCAGCTACAAAACACTCAAGTGGCTGGCAAAGACTCTCTTCAGTTTCTTCCAGACTCTCTCCTGGAATTTTAAGGTTAATAAATAAATGAAAATCTGGAGACAGACTGCTTCTGATATTGAGATATTTTGGTGCCATAACTGAAAATCTGTTAGATGAGCAAAAATAAATCGAATTATGAGCTCTGACTCTCTGCACCCCAAAGCCATTGAGCAACAAGGCGACAAACACAAAGCCAAGCTCAAAAGTTTGTTTCTAACAAGGGTGGTGAGCAGCTGTGTCCCATCACGGGCCAGAGGACTGTCTCCCGGCATCCCCAGCTCCTGTCCCTAATGACACATTCTTTCTTATTTATGTTACGTTGGGGACAGAACCTTGGTTTCATTTCCATGGGAAGGAGGTGCTGAGTAATCTCCCAGGTTAAGTAAACTTTGGCTTGCTGAAAAGCCCACTTTGGAAGGGCTAGGGTGTAGCTCAATGGTAGAGCACAAACTCAGCATTACAAGGCCCTGGGTTCAATCTGCAGCATCAAAATATATTTTTTTTTAATTTTAAAAAGCTACTCTTGAAGAGACAGCAGCACTATTTATGACTCTTACTACACATATGCTTGTGTTTGCTAAAACATTAATGTTTAATATTTCTACAATTTCAAAGTGAAAATACTATTTTCTGAGCAATTTGCTCAAAAAGTCAATAAACGTACACTTTTTACATGTGAGCATATTATACTAAAACAATAGTGTTGTATATTTGCTTATTGGAAAATAAAGCAAGATAAAAAGTATAAAAAAGGAAAAGTAAAGAAATGCTGATTTATAGTCATCAATAATTTATATAAGGAAAATATTTTGTCTTTAGGATTCTTCAGCATTAAGCATATCACAAAGAACAGCAAGCTAAATTATTAGATCACCCATTCATCCCACAAGTAGGGAGCCCCATCCTCATACACAAACACACACACACACACACACACACACACACGTGAACACACATACACACACTCATAGACATTATTCTAAGTGCTGAGGACACAACAAAGACAACATCAAGCAGGTCTTTGACATCTTACAAGACAACCAATAATAGACAAATAAGTAATCTGGGACAGTGATGAGAGCTTTACAGAAAATAAAAAAGAGGATGTGACAGAGGCTGACCCAGGAGAAGGCTCAGCAAGGTGAGGGGGCCCTTTCAAGGGCAGCCCTTGGAATGGATGATGTCACGCTGAGGTCAGGGTGTGGCAAAAAGCCAGACAGGTAAAGGTTCAGGGGAGGGTGTCCTAACAGAGGGGACAGCAGATAGCGAGATTCCAGTGAGAAAGAGCTGGATGCAGTTGAGGAATTCGAGGTGCCCAGAGAAGCTGGGCCCCATAGAACCTGGGGTCTGGTAAAAAATAGGCTTGAGTGGTTTGCAAAGGCTGGCTCAGGAGAATAATGCAGGCCTGGGAAAGAGTCTACATTTTATTTTGTTTCAAGGATTTATTATAGACTCTGATTTAGCTAGATAGTAATATGCCATTGGTCAACATCCATGCACAAGAAATTTTGGGTTTTTTTTCCAGAAAACTTCTAGATATAAAAAGTTACTTGTTAAAAACTTGGCCACAATAACAAATTATATAAAATAAGTAACACCAGAAAAGTGGCTGTCTTTCAAGGAAGTATTGACTGGAGAAGGGAAATTTCTTGAATGGGGGCAGCAAAGATATGGGCCTTTGTTGGAGCTCACCGAGCTGTGCTCATTAGAGATGTGTGTTGCCGTGTGTATGAATTTCATTTGAAAACTTATAAGTAAATATCAAGCTCTATAAACAAATATCCAATGCTAAGAAATATTTTTGCAGTGGCTCTGTGTTAGCCATTTGGAAATAACTCTCTCTGTTTTCTAAGGTTGGCAAGTGACAAAATAGATGTGGAAGATAACCATAGGTGGGGTTTCACTGCAGGGCAAGGCAGTTGTATGTGTATGAAAGGACAAAGCAGAGCCGACAGTACCAAACTGTAGTTTCAGGTGTCAGTGTGCCTTCCAGGATTTTCAATAAAGATGTGGGTCTACAGAAGTACACACAAAGAGACACATATTTCCTATTTTGGTGTGGTGAGCAACACTAGAAGCCGAGAATGGCTTGTAGGCAGGAGCACAATTAATTCCCAGAAGATGATTTTGAGATCCTATTTCCCACTACAGGAAACTAGGACTCCGAGAAGGAATGGCCAATTCTAGTGCTGGGTCAAGAAAAGTCCAAGATGACACTGGGACAGCTTTCTCTGCCAAAAAGGAAGTACGTCAGGGACCATGGGAAGGAGTCAAAAGGACACAAGGGTCTCCTGGACAGCCTCACCACTGGTCAAACCTGGGGGAACTGGAACATCACAGTAAATAATGGGATTAGAGCCATTAAATAACATAAGAACCCATGAACCCTTACTCGGATTTTTAAAATGAATAAATAAATAGAAGAGAAGGGAAAGCTGTTCCTTAAGTAGGTTACAGACCAATAATTTTAGAAGTGATAGATCTAGAAAACCATCAGTGGATGCCTCAGTAGAAAGTGGAGTTGGGCGAGAAGGCATATTTGCAGAATTTCAAAGAATTTCCAGATTACTACTTATAAAAAAACCCCGCACCTTAAGGGGGAAAAACCTGTTGGATACTGCCTTCAACAAATGATTAAAGGTAGCATCCCTAATAATCACACAAACTAATAATACACATTTCCTGATGTCATTTCCTGAGAGCAACACAGCATCACTTATGTGATATTCCTGACACATATCCTTGCATATTTAGTTTAGACAAACTAAAATTGAGGGACATTTTAAAAACAGCTAACCTGTATTCCTCAAATATCAGTGTTGCTAGGCATGGAGTGCACCCCTAAGACTCCAGCCCTCAGGTGGCTGAGGCAGGAGGATAGTGTGAGTTCAAGACCAGCCTGGGCTGCACAGTTAGCTCAAGGCCAACTTAAACTGCACTGCAAGACCTTGTCTCCAAAAAAAAAAAAAAAAGCTACAGACTGTTCCGGCTTAACTGAGTATAAATGAACAAATGCAATGCATGACTCCAAAATGGATATAGGACTAAGACAACTTGATAGATATTATTAGATGAATTGATGAAATATGATTACAAACCACGGGTTACAAACATAATTGTGTCAGTGTTAAACTTTCTGATTTTATGTTTTTTTCTATTTGTTTTTATTTTTTATTTAAAAAAAATTTTTTTTTGGTACTGGGAATCGAACTCAGGACCTTGTGTTTTCCAGGCAGGTGCTATACTAAACTCCAGATTTTAATAACTGTACTATGGCTGTGTTAGAAAATGCCTCTGTCCACATTGCTTCTCTGCCATTTGGCTAAGATCAGGGAGAAAGAGAAAAAGAGAGGAAAGAACAGAGAGAGGAAGGAGGGAAGGGAGAGAGAAAGAGGTAAAGGAAAAAGTGCCAAGTAATTGGTGAATGTGGGCTGTCATGCAGGTTTTTATTTTTATTTTTTTTTTTTGGTTTTTTCTCCAGGAACCGAACTCACGACCTTGCGCTTGCCAGGCAGGCGCTTTTGCCGCTGAGCTAAATCCCCAGCCCCTCATGCAGGTTTTTAAATACTGTCTGACTCTCTCCTAGATGCTAGAATCATACTACTAAAAACCCAGGAGAGAGGACTTTTCAATCCTTTTATATCCTTTCTTTAATAGAGATTCCACTTGGTTGTGGACTAATATGGCCCTCCCGAATTAGAGCAATCCTGAGCTGCCCACAGATGTGGAACACAGCAGTGATGGAGATGCCATGGTGTAGCACACTGGGTTATCTTGGTGGTCTTCACAGTAAATGTTAATCACAACAGGTCCAGCCCAGGGACACTGGTGTGCATATAGTGACTGCACCCACCAGAGAATCTACAGAATGTCTTTTTCTTTGTTAAAGTGTGCAGTCCTGTGAGTTTAGAGGGAAACTCTCTTCTGAGAATAAAAGCTGTTAGATCTTGAGAATCTAACAGAATAGAATAAAATAAAAATGTGATCTTGAGCAAATCACAAAACTTCTTTCAGTGTCATTAGATTTGTCCAGACTCTTTGTAGGTGAAGTGTATGAAACAGGAAGATCTCATTAGTATATCTGAGATTCCCTTGAAATTGACATAGTGAGGGACAGTATGTACTAGAGGCCTAAGTATGTTTTATGACATAACGTTTCCTACAACCTACAATACTTAGAATTCACTCATTTGACTAGAATATGTAGCAGAACAAAATTACTTGTTAAAAACTATAAACAGTAGGACCACTTTTTAGAATGGCAAGCGGAAAAAAAAATAGAATGGCAAGTCATTATTTTTCTCATGGACTGCTGAATAACTCACATGCCTCTGTTTATGAATGCCAAGTTTTGTCAAGAGTAAACTATTGTATATTATCTGTAAATCAAAAATTTTTGAATTATTCACCATTTGTAAATTGTTAGAAATACTTATGTTATTACTTATAAATTATAAATATTCCTAAACATTATGCAAACTTGAAAACAAGGTAAATGGGCATTATGACACAACTTTAGGTCACAGCTTTTCTGGAGAGGTTTTATTCCATGATTAAAGTTTCCTCTTTTTAAAAATCTGATGACTTGTGTAGCAAATTAATGGCAAAAGCCTGGATAATAGCAGAAAGCTTTCAGAAGTGGGTCGTGGGTGGCCTGAATAAGGGTGCTGGTGAGGTGGAGGGAATGAGCCACTTCCCCATAGGCATCTCTGTGCTGTGTTAAGAAGGCCCTCACTGACCTAGTACATTAAAATCCTTAATTCACCAAAGGGCCAATGTCCCTGTCACTTGTCAGCATACAAGTGGCCAAGGTGACCTTAGAGAAAGCTGAGGGAGAG